GCCTCTTGTCTTGTCGCATACACCGCAGCATCTCCGGGGTCTGGCACCCAGCCCAGCACCGTGGCCGACCTTCTGCGACATGCCTTGGCGTGACGGTGTGGGTGACCCCTGTACTGGATGTACGAGTTTCCGAGCATCACCTTTACCACCCCCCTCTCCCCCCAGGCCCCAAAACAGTGAGCTCTACTGTCTCCGCCCTTGTCTCCAGTGGCCCTGCAGGACCTATTACTACTTACCCCCTCCCCCCCGTCTCGTTCCCTCTCCTCTCCTCTTGCTTCCTTTCTACAACCTCAACCCTAGGTTTTTTTCATCATCGAAGCGCTGTTGCGTGTCCTTCCTTTCGTCTCCCGCAGCGGGCTTTACTTTCTTTCACTGTCCAACTGGCTTGGCTGCTCACACTCCTTTGGAAAAAGATTCTCATTCTTGGACACACTTTTATTCTACCTATCCGGTTTATTGCAAACAACGACAAACACCACGCAACTTACCACCACCACAACGAACATACAAACTTTGCCTGCTTTTCTCTTCTTCTGGATCCCGGTTTATCCATTTCATTCTCCTCCGGCAGTGCCTAACCGCTACAACAAGAAGAGCCATTGAGTCGCCTAGGCCGACCCTCGCCCATTCAACTGCTGTTTGAGAGACCCTTCACGTCCAAGAGACTGTGGTACACCAGATTCCCATTTTCACAACGACGGCCTGTTTTAAGAACATTGCCATTTTCGATTCAATCAGAGCAGCGAGAACTGTGATTCTCAGCGCCACCTCCAAACTCTTCCACGACCTTTCCAACGACGACAACTTTGACATCACCCAACGGGTTTCCCTCTCATTCTTCAGAGCTGGATCCTTATCTACGTCGAGAGATACGCCACACCTCCACAGCCAACATGTCCCCCACCTTGCAACTGGCACCTACCACCACCAGGTATACGCCTACCTCGGACGCCATGGACCGACACGACTACGGCGTCACCAAGACCCGTAAGGCAACCTCCACCGGCGGTGGCCGAGCGTGGAGCGAGGATGAGGTGGGTTCTTAACCACCGTAGTGTATAGCGGAGTCGGACTAATAGTGATGTGATATGTAGGAAGTCTACCTTCTTCAGACACGCCTCCAGAAAATGCCCTACAAGCACATTGCTGCGCACCTGAAAAAGACAGAGCTTGCTTGCCGCCTGCACTACCACCAGCTCAGCCACGGAAGCAACCGGCGTAAGCAGCGGGCCACTTCGGTGTCCTCCGGATCGTCGGCGAATCAGTCGCCCATCCTACGCACGACCATGCCGTCGCCCATCCGTGAGCCTACTCCGCGCACGGTCACACCCCCCGGCAGTGCGGGGAGCTACGGCCCATCCTCACCTGCTCCTGTCCAGCTGCCGAGTATCTTGAACCACAGCACATCCCCCAGGCTTCCGGCCATCCTCCCGAAACCCGTCGCCATGACGCTGCCTCCCATCACCACATCACCTCCCCGGGGTTACCCCACTCCTCTTACAGAGCCCTCCCCGAACAGCGCCGCCCACCCTTCCGCTACCTTTTCCCGCATGGCCAACAACCAGCCACTGACGCCGCCGCTGCGCCTCGACTGCTCGCCTCTGCCGCCTCTGCAGTCAGCCCTCAGCCACTCGACCGTCGATATGGGGCGTCTGCAGGCCGTGTACGCTGCCCACCGCGGCTCGTTCTGGGCTGCCATCTCCAACGACTACGGCAACGGAGCGACACCTGCAAGCCTCGAGCAGGCCTGGAAAGCAGGCCTCTGCTGCCAGCAACACCCCGCCACAGCTCCTCTCAGCCCCTTGTCCAGCCCGGATAACCTGGAGCGGGATGCATATGGCCGAGTCCAACAAGACAAGACGCGCATCGCAGCCATCCTCGGCATTGACGCCAACCCTCGATCGCCTCGTGAGCGTGAGATGGTTAGGAGGATGGAGGAGGAGAGGACGGGTACTGTTTCTACCAGTGCGTAAACGCCTAGGACAGTACCAAATCGTACATCAAGCGACACCCACTGAGGCTCGCCCGTCTTCTTCTTCGCCTTGTGTATTACATAGCCGCTTTCTTGTTCCCTTTTTTCTCTTCCTGTTTTGTCGACCCATTCCACGGTTGTTGCTCTTTTGGTTTCAGGGATGTACGCGAAACTCGACAAGTTTGGGATCAACCACTTGACGCTCGCACGGCCGCTTCTTGCGCTTTTCCTTCTATCATCCGATGACGATTTTGATTTACACGAACAACTCTCCTTCTCCCTTCGCTTCACACATTTCTTTTCTTGTCCTGAGGGAAACTGAGCATTCGGAAAGGGATTGAAAAGGGGTGAAAGTGCTTGATGTATACGGCGCACCGGGGTCAGTCTCGTTGCTGACAGTCAGAGCTGCAAAAGGGAACACGTATTGCTCCGCCGCGGCGGTTCGGGAGCCGAGATGCCCCTTGGGATACGCTTTCCAAGCTTGGTCTGTTAGGGCCTGCCCAGCACACGAGGTGACTCGGCCATGAAGGGAGCGGGCAACTCCGGTGCGGCCGTCTTTTGGAGATTTTGCTTGATTTCTTTCAACCACAACCCCGTTGCAACGGAGACGAAGTGACGAAAACCACACTCGCAAGACACGATCTGCGCTTCTGTACATTACATCATCCGGGCTGCGTTCTCGAGGTTGGCGAGGACTGGTCTAGCACCGATGGCGTGCAATTGAACTTGAGCAACAGGAGCATGCTAGCACATTGCATTGCGTGAAAGTGAATGTCGGCAGTGACCGTAATCCTTTTTCCACAGCGTTCTCACCCGTGGCCAAGACGACGCGGATGGCGGGGTTACCTCGCTTCCCACCCATCCAATCCACTGATTTGAGAAGCATGTGCCTTGATGCCTTCGGGGTTGGTTTGCGACTGCCGCGGATTTTCTTGCGTTCCTAGGTATTCTGAAACTAAGCCGCTCCATGGTCTGTCGACTGGTGTAGCATTGCGTCTGAAATGGGCGCCTCGATGAACAGACAGCAGGATACCAAAATGCTTCAGTGGAGGCACCAGAGCACCAGTCCCTCACTCGGAAACTGCCCTATCCTGTAGAGTTCTATACGGGGCGACATGGATGGGGGGCTTGAAACACTGTAGCCCTGCGAAGCTGCGACGCTGCGACGCTGTGACGATGCTACACTGCATCCTCTCGCTCGCCTTCGACCCGAAAAGCCCGGGTCATGCACAGTCACAAATAGGCTGAGTAGTATAGCCTCGGGTTTCTCCCCGCTACTGAGACCCGCGTGGCGCGTTTCCGAACGGCCACATACACGAAAGAGCCGACAGAGCCAGCAGATGCAGGGTCTAGGCCCGGCCTACGTCCGCCGGGCCGGCTCTGGCCCTCCGGAGCCGGCTAATAGTGCTTTTCCACGGGCGGCAAGGCGCGCCTGGGCTTTTGCGAGTCAGAAGGGTTAGGCCCCGCTGATCGCTGCGAGTTGGTGCACCGGGTTCGGAAGAGCCCCCCCCCCTCCTCGCCTTGTTGACCCCCAAAATTGCCCACCAAGAGCGCACTACCCGCTGACCATCAGCCTGGCCCTGACTGGCGATGCATCTCTCGGGTATCCTTTTTTTAAGGGCCCGAAGGGTAAGGGGTATGCGCGCCAACGGGCTCTGCTTCTGCTTTTAGCGGGGTGTGGGATGATGGGGTAACACGCCGCTTAACCCCGGAGTGTGCCCCGCGCTCGATTACCCATTTACCTTGACTGAGTGACTGACTGACGTCTTCACACTTGTCTTGTCTGCCGTTCTGGTGCTCGCCTTTCTAATTGTCCGGGGAATGGGGGCGGGCCTCGTGTAATCCATAAAGGCAAGCTTGCTGTCCCGGCCCGCACTCCTTTCCGCCCTCCCCTCTTCTCGTTACTGCCCCTCTCTGTGAGGTCATGGCTAAACTCTTTCTTCTTTTGTATCCTTCACCAGCTACACACTCTCTCTCCCCCCCCCCCCGCCTCTCACAGGACCTGCTCTCGATTACCTCTGACGACGTCCGAATCAACAGCCCAAGCTCGAGCGCCCTGAACCACTACAATGGCTTCCAGCGAAAGCAAACCCGTAGGGGCCACCGATGCCGCCGACCAGCAGGACTACCTCCAGTTCGAGTCGCTGCCCCCCGGCGGCAAGCTGAACCGTTGGTCGCAGAAGATCACGAGAGGGCATGATTTCCCCGGCGCTCAGGTAGGCCCTCCTATGTGTTTTCTCTGAACTCTGCAGCAAGTGCACACTTTTGCCATGGTGTCATCGACCCCTCGCGGCAGCTTTGCTCTCAGCTGTTGGCGAACGGTGGGACACATGTCTTTCAAGCTCGACACCCAACGAGGAACTCCCCAACCCAAGAAATGTGGGGTGTGCATGGCGGGGTCTACGATGCGGCGACGGGATGCTGACAATGGGGGGGGGGGAAACACAGGCCATGCTGTACGGCGCGGGCGTGCCGGACCGCGACACGATGAAGAATGCGCCCCATGTCGGCATTGCGACGGTCTGGTGGGAGGGCAATCCCTGCAAGTAGGTTTCCTCGCCCCGGCCCTCCGTGGCATGCACGATATTTTCTTACGGACGCTTTGCTGACCGAGGGGCGTTGTTTCGAACAGTACGCATCGTAAGCTGCTGCTGCTTCGGCTGAGCCGCGAAATCCGGACTCACGAGAGCTAACGTGTCACGGACAGTCCTCGACTTTGGAAAGATCGTCAAGAGGGGCGTCGAGAAGCAGGGGTTCCTCGGATGGCAGTTCAACACGATTGGCGTGTCAGACGCCATCACCATGGGTGGTGAGGGCATGCGATTTTCCCTGCAGACGCGAGAAATCATCTGCGACAGCATAGAGTCCGTCACGTGCGCCCAGCATCACGATGCCAACATCTCCATCCCTGGGTGCGACAAGAACATGCCCGGTGTCGTCATGGCGGCGGCGCGTCACAACCGGCCGTTCATCATGATCTACGGCGGCACCATCATGAAGGGACACTCGGAGCTGCTCGAGAGTTCCATCAATATCAGCACCTGCTACGAGGCGTCCGGTGCCTACACGTATGGGCGTCTCAACGCAAAGTGCAACCCGGGAGAGCCCGGCCGTACGTCGTCCGATGTCATGGAGGACATTGAGCGTCACGCGTGCCCCGGCGCCGGCGCCTGCGGCGGCATGTACACGGCCAACACCATGGCGACAGCCATCGAGGCCATGGGCCTCTCGCTTCCCGGGTCGTCATCGTACCCGGCGACGTCACCGGAAAAGGCACGCGAGTGCGAGCGTGCGGCTGAGGCCATCAAGATTGTCATGGAGAAGGATCTCCGCCCGCGCAAGCTCATGACGCGCGCCGCCTTTGAGAACGCGCTCGTGCTGACCATGATCCTCGGCGGCTCGACGAACGGCGTGCTTCACTTCCTGGCCATGGCCAACACGGCCGACGTGCCCCTGACGCTGGACGACGTCGACCGCACGAGCAACCGCGTGCCGTTCCTCGCGGACCTCGCACCGTCGGGCAAGCACTACATGGAGGATCTCTACAAGGTCGGCGGCACGCCTGCCGTGCTCAAGATGCTCGTCGCCGCCCAGTACATTGACGGCAGCATCATGACTGTCACGGGCCGCACGCTGGCCGAGAACGTGGCCGACTGGCCGTCGCTCGACCCCAACCAGCAGATCATCCGCCCGCTCTCGAACCCTATCAAGGCAACAGGCCACATCCGCGTGCTGCGCGGGAACCTGGCGCCCGGCGGCGCCGTGGCCAAGATCACGGGCAAGGAGGGCCTCTCGTTCACGGGGGCGGCGCGCGTCTTCAACAAGGAGCACGAGCTCGACACGGCGCTCTCCTCGGGTTCCATCAAGCGCGAGGACGGCAACCTCGTTGTCATTGTGCGGTACGAGGGCCCCCGCGGCGGCCCAGGCATGCCGGAGCAGCTGCGCGCCAGTGCCGCCATCATGGGCGCCGGATTGACCAACGTGGCCCTCGTCACCGACGGTCGATACAGCGGTGCGTCGCACGGATTCATTGTCGGCCACGTCGTGCCTGAGGCGGCCGTCGGCGGACCGATTGCGCTCGTGCGCGACGGGGACCGGGTGACGATTGATGCCGAGACGAACAGGATCGACATGATTGATGTCGACGAGGAGGAGATGGAGAGGAGGAGGAAGGACTGGAAGCCGCCCAAGCCGCACGTCAGGAGGGGCGCGCTGGCCAAGTACGCGCGTCTCGTGGGTGATGCGAGCCACGGCGCCGTCACGGATCAGGCGGATCCCAGCTGGTAGAATCTGGCAGCTGGAGAGAGTTGTTGGAGATGTTGGGTAGGGACGGCATTAGCACGCACGTCTGTGTGTCAGAACATGTATCATTATCGGGAGCTCGTCTTCGTCTTGAAGTATGTTTTCGATGAGCCATGGGAGCTGACGAGGAATGCATGGCGAATAGTCAGTAGAGAGGTTGCAGCGAGCCTTTGTCCTTACAACATGATAATGTTCTGCGTCTTCTGCATCTTCTGCGTCTTCTGCGTCTTCTGCATCGTCTCCATCTGTCGCTCGTGGCATTCCATTGCCCATACTGGTTGATGAGCGTTTGACATGCATCCATCACCTCTATTGGGACTGACCTAGGGAGTGACCTTGAGAGTGACCCTTAATCGTCGGCCCCTCGACAGCAGTAGAAGCAGTCGGGCACCTTGCGAATACGCCATGGGCGAGGTACAGAATCTTCCAACCACCTCTGCATGATGCTGAGTATTGGGATCAGCGGATGATTGTGGACGATGGACTGTAGAAACGGCTCGACTGTAGGGGTCCAAGGATCTCGAGAGCATGTCAAAGGGTACGTACCGCCGACCCTGGATCGTCTAGACCCAGACCCGAGACGAAACTTGGCAGTCGCGCCCCACCATTGCTCATGCCCGCCCCACCTGATCTTCTAAAGCCGCCTGATTGGCCACGATAAGTTTAATGTTCTTTGGACAGCAGCAGGAGGCAGGGGCTAGACAGGGGCAAGGAAATGCCATGTCGAAGGTGCCTTCTCGGCCTCTTCTCTCGAGCCGACCACCAATTTGGACGATCGCCAGAGGGCCAGATTGCCTTTTTCGACACCAATGACCTGACACGCGCGGCTGCGAATCTGCCTCTACGCATAGCATTATCGACGCACCATCCTTCCTAGTCCGATCGGACCGACCGCTGTGCCCTGCCACTACAGACAGTTTCTCACGGGTCTGTTGCTTGTCGCTGCGAATTCTACGATCGCGAGCACACCATCGCCTCTCCTGGGAGCATTCCCTGACGCTCTTTCGACCAGCTCTCCTCATTTCAGATCAACCCACCTGATCGAGCCGACTCGACAACCGATCATCGAAGAAACAGACTTCTCTACCCTACGCCCACCCCCGTCGATGACAAGTTTCTATACCCGTCCTCTGGGTCTCGCCATCGACGTCTTCACCAGCCATAAACTTACAACGATCGCACCACGGCTCCTCTCTTAGCAAAGAGAACCCCCACCTCTACGAAACTGCCGCTGAATAACACCTGACCTTTGCGCTTGTCCGAACTCATACCGTCCTCCCCATCCCGGCATCTCGTCGACAAACACCAAGATGGACCTCTTCCGGCGGGCTGGTAAGTCCAGGTCGTCCGGGGCGTCACCTCTTCCGGTAGCAGACGACAAAATCTCAAAATCGTTCCGTCCGAGTAAACAAGATTCGCGCTATGCGTTCCTCAGGAAACCAATGCGTGTTCGCGGGAACTCGAACATCTCTATCCCGTTTGGCGTCGTTGTCGTTTTCCCCGCCATCGTCCTCATACTGATCCTCATGCTCTTCTTCATGCATCCAAACTCTCCTGGGAGGATATTGATGCCGGCGGGCGCGCCTCCATCGATACGGTACGTAGTTCAAAGGTCTCGGTGACTGTCTTCACGTCTCCTCTAACATGGTTCCTCGCAGCCTAATCAGCGAAAAGTACGACAAGGTGTTTGCTACAGGATGCCTCGAACCCGATACCACCAAGCCCCGCGCTAATGCTGCCTTTGTCGTCTTGGCCCGCAACAAGGAGTTGGACGGAGTTGTCCAGTCGATCAAGTCTATCGAGCGCCACTTCAACCGGTGGTACCATTACCCCTATGTCTTCCTCAACGACGACGAGTTCAACTCGACCTTTAAAGAGACCGTCACAAACTACACGTCAGGAACCGTCGAATTTGGCAAGGTCGGTCCGGAGATGTGGGGGTTCCCCGACTGGATCGATCCCAAGGTGGCCAAGGAGGGCATTGCCAAGCAGGGCGACAATGCTGTCATGTACGGCGGCATGGAGAGCTACCATGCCATGTGCCGCTTCTACTCTGGGTAAGCTATTCGCGTGCGTCATGTACCAAGGCCCCCCGGCTAACAACTCTAGCTTTTTCTACAAGCACGAGCTGCTGCAGAAGTACGAGTGGTACTGGCGACTCGAGCCAGAGATTAGCTACTTCTGCGATATTACCTAGTACGTTCCGATGAGCCTCTCAAGCTAGTGTTGTGGCATACTAACACGAACCAGTGACCCATTCCTGGAGATGATTGCCGCCAACAAGACGTACGGGTTCACTATCGCCGTCAAGGAGCTCCGCGAGACCGTTCCCAACATTTTCCGTTACGCCTCGGCATACAAGCGAAAGAAGGGTCTCAAGTCCAAGGGGCTCTGGGAGATGTTCGTCGAACCGATTGAGGAGACCGAGCCCGACACCTCGAAGCCCAAGAACCTGCCGGAGGACATACTGAAGAAGGGCACCAAAGACAAGAGCCAGGAGCCCATTGTCGATGACGAGTCCATGGAGGGCGAGAGCTACAACATGTGCCATTTCTGGTCCAACTTTGAGATTGCACGGCTCAGCTGGTTCCGGAGTCAGGAATACGAGGACTTTTTCCAGACAATGGATCGTAGCGGAGGTTTCTGGATGGAACGGGTAAGTCTGCCATGCCATGCGGCCATGCGGCCATGCGATGGAAGCCAAGCTGACGGCAATTGCAGTGGGGTGATGCGCCCATCCATTCCCTCGCCGCCGGTGCTCTCTTGGGCCCCGGCGACATTCATTACTTCCGAGACTTTGGGTACCGGCACACAACGATCCAGCACTGTCCGGCCAATGCGCCGGCAAGGCAGCTGCCGCGAGAAAAGTACCTCGAGATGACGACGCTTGACGAGAAGAAGCGCATCGAAGAAGACGCGTACTGGGAGTCATGGGATGTGGAGAAGGAAAATGGCGTGGGCTGTCGGTGCCGATGCGATACAGACATTGTCGACGTCGAGGGCAAGGACGGATCGTGCCTCGCGGAATGGGTCGACGTCGCAGGCGGTTGGGCGGCTCCTTAGTATGCGGCCTATCCAGATGATCCAACGAGAAAGGGCGAATGATGTCTTGGAGCCGCAGTCTCCCATTCACACGACTATGTATACACACACACACACACACACACGACTGCATTGAGAGCGCGACAACACCATCAGCACGATTAGGCCAATTCGGCGTTCAGCACAGGAGTACAGGGGACTTGTTTTCAACACGTGCATGGCGGACATGAAAGCGCGGCGGGCGGTCTTTTTTCCTTCGCCTTTCTTTGCATCAGGCAGACAGACCTTGGGAGAAGGGATGGAAAGAGGGAGGTTGAATTGTCTAATGGGTAGGAGGAGGCTGGCGAACAACAGTTAGAATAGCAGGGGCCAGCCAAGCTTCCGACGAAGTCCTGGTTATGGGATGGTTGGACTCATCCAAGAGGTTCCCAAACACGAGGCTTACCTATAATTCGATGATGTATTACAAGAAACAGACAGAACAGGGGTTTTGCCAGCTCATGATGCGATGAGAACGATGGGCTGGGCTTGGGATCAGGGTTAGTTGGCACCAGCATGCCGCTGTCTTGTTTCGAAACAGCCAACGTGAGCTGTTAGCCGCGAGCTGTGACCAACTGACAAACTTCAGACATATATGTAGCTGGCCAAGGGGTGCGGCGGCGGGTGAAGGTGGGATCGAAAAGGGAGGGAGGATGCGATGGTGGCTTGGATCGCTGCTGATCAAAAGGCCACCAACATCCACTCGATCTACCTGCGCCCCCTCGCGACTGCGGCTCCCGAATCGCGGCCTTCGTGCCAATGGTTAGTCCGACGCTGGCGACCGACTTTACCGCCCAAGGCAGGCCCCTGTTGGCACGACGCGACGACAGGTTGAGAGAACAGCGGGTGGCCATGCAGGAACAGGCTTTCCTCCTCTCTCGGACGACTCCATCTTACAGGGGCTAGGGGCGCGGGGCATTCGGGGCTTTCTGGGGCCACCCGCGGGGGTTCCAGGGCTTGCGGTTGGAGGACGACTGCGCATCCTTTCCCTTCTCCGTCGGCCAACCGGTTTGGCCTTGATGAGGTCTGCGGCGACGATGCCTTTTCAGACTGGCATGCCCAACGAACATGACTTGTTAGCCTTTCCAAACCCTGGCCATGGCCGTGGAAGCCCCGATGCTGGTACGACCCTGATGGCGATGATGACCGAGGGAGGGGTTGGCCCCCTAAAGGGAGTAGTGGAGGAGACAGGAGTCTGGTGGAAGAGTATTTGAGTCCTTGACGGGCCACTCTTTTCTTTTTCGTGTCAGAGAGAGAGGGGAGACAGAGTCAGAGAGAAAGTCCCCTTGGCTCATCATTCCTTGCGGATTGCTAACACCTTGTTCATAACGTCTGGTCCCGTGTCATCATCAGGAACTGCTCCGCCTTCCAGCATTGCTTCCTTCAGCCTTCAGCGTGCTTCTTTTAGAATCCTTTCTCAGTGGCCCCCTGTCCTACTCACATTACACGGGACAATCCGATTGATTGATTGCGACTCACTGCCCCTTCCCCTTGTGTACAGAGCCTCGTTGGTCGTGCTCTTATATGAGTCTTTGACCTGGTATTGGAGGATAACTTGACCTGCTTCGCCGGTATTTCGTTCGACTCGACTACATCCCAGCAGATCACGTCTTCAAAACACCCACCCCGACATCTGCAACTTTTCTCCCAGAGTAGATCAACAAATAGGAAACCCCTAAGCTGAACGAACCTTAGCATTCACCTTGTCGACATGCGCCTCTCAGTCGGACTCTCCCTGCTCGCGGCGGCTGCCGCCTCGGCTGCCACCATTCGCATCCCCGCCAAGAGGCAAGAGGCGGCCCCGGCTTCCAAGGTCCTCATCGGCGGCCCAGGCCAGATCATTGTCGCAGACTTTGACGGCACTTCGTTTGACCTCAAGGCTAAGAATTCCCTTCCTGGCACAA